AATTTTTGAATGAATATTCCTTGAATGATACAGCAATCTTTTGTCTATTTGTTGAACTGAACAACTTGATGTCGCTGTGATGCTGCATGCTGCTCCATAGTCTTGTCAAATACCATAACGGTTAGCCATTATGTATAGTGTTTGGATGAGCTTCCAGATTGATTTATGCTGGGAAGCAGGAGTGGCATCCACTTCCTAAACTAGATGCCTCTGGAAACTCTATAAAATCTCTAAACTCTACAAACCCTTTAAACTCTATAAATGTACAGAAATGATGGTAGTTATAGAACAGAGTTCTGTACAGAAATTATGTTAGTTATAGAATAGAATTCGGGTGTTTTATGCAGAACTTTCAGTTGTTTTTTACTTGATAACACTTAAATCACTGCTAAATGAGAGTAGTGCTGTTATATCTGGAGGAACACTCTTCCCGTTTGTATATCACTCTTTGTCAATGTGTTGTATGAAGTAACCTGGGCTTGCTGTGATGCTGAAACTTGTACCATTGGGTATCAAATACCAGAATGATTTCCCAATATGGACAATGTTTGATGGAGCTCCCACTTGTAAAAAAGTTTGGAAGAAGGAGTGGCATCCACTTCCTAAACCACATGCCTCTGGAAACTCTATGAACTTGGAGAAATGATGATAGTTATGGGAAAGCATGAGGTCTTTTGTTCATAGAGTTGCTGTGAGTTGCACTTGACTCGATGGCAATCAACAGCAACAGCACAAGAAGATTACATTCACAGTGAGTATTTTTTAGTGACACAAAATGTAATGTTGTTGTTACATGTCTTTGAGTCAACTATGACTCAACTCTATGCACTATCTCTGAACCCTGACTTAGCCTGAATCAACCTCACTGTCTCTGACACACTTACCCTACTTATTGTGTCAATTTATTAAATCTGTGGTCTTCCTCTCCGGTGCTGTCTCTAGACCCTTAAAAGCAAAATATCCTTCTTCAAAGTCTGGTCCCTCCTCCAACATGGCCAAAGTATGTGAGAAAGAGTCTCAAAAATCCTTGCTTTCAAGGAGCAGCTTGATTTCATCTTCTCCAGGACAGAACTGTTAGTTCTCTTGTATGGTCAATACTCTTTTCCAGCACCACAACTAAAAGGCATCTATTCTTCTGTCATCCTTGTTCATTGTCAAGCTCTCTGATGCATAGTAAGTAATTGCAAAGACCATGGCTTGGATCAGGTGCATCTTAGTCTCTAGACTTACATCATTGCTTCTCAGTACTCTGGAGAGGTCCCTGACAGCAGATTTTCCAAGAGCAATTCATATTTTGATTTCCTGACTGCTGATGCCAAGAGTATTACTGTGGAGTCAAGCAAACGAAAGCTATCAACAACCTCAATCTCTTCTCCATCTATCATGGTGCTGCCTATTAACCCAGTAGTGAGAATCTTTGTCTTCTTGATGTTGAGCTTCAATCCATATTTGAAGACTACAGTCCTCGACCTTCTGCAGCAAGTGCTTCAGGTCCTCCTCAATCTCAGCAAGTAAGGTTGTATCATCTGCATAATATAGGTTCTCGATGTGTCTTCCTCCAGTCCTGATGCCAAATTGATGCTCATAAAACCCAGCCTCTCAAATTATCTTTTCTGCGTATAGATGGAAAAGATATGGACACAAGATGCATCCCTGATGCACTCCTTTCCTGAATTTGAATCATGCAGTGTTACCTTGCTCTGTTCTGAGGACTGCTTATTGGTCCGAGTATAGTTTTTGCCTGAGTACAATTGAATGATCTGGGATTCCCATTCTCCTCAAGGTTAGCCACAATTTGTTGTAATCCACACAGTCAAATGCCTTTGCATAGTCAATGAAACACAGATAGACATCTCTCTGATACTCTTTGCTTTCTGCCAAGATCCATCTGACACTCACTATAATGTCTCTAGTTTCATGACCTCTTCTAAACACTGTGCATGAGATTTGTGAAGGCCCGCTGTTTCAGAACTGATCAATCCTTCTCCCTAATCTGCCTCAATTTAGATGTTCAGCTTAAGCAATATCTAGCAAACAAGTATTTTGCTCAGAAGAGCTAATGAAATACACTTCTCATTACAATAGTAATCAAGTATTGGTTCCCCAAGCCTACCTTCTTCTGTGCCTGTGATTTGGTACCCTGCCCTCCAGTCTCTACTTCCTCCAGCATCCACTTCTACTCCCCTGACCTCTCAAAATCCATGCTTTGCCTTGTCAGCACTCCGTTCTCCTCACCTTCCAGCCAACCCGAGATATGGCGGCTCAGGCCTCCAGTCACTTCTGTGATGCTCGTTTCTCCTGCTGCTGCTGCTTCACTCTGTCTTTTTGTTTTGTTTTTAAATATTATTTTATTAATTTTAATGAACGTTTACAGAGATTTTGGATTTCCATTCATTCATTGTTGCATTTTTCTCCCTGACCATCCCTCCTCCCCCCAGTTTGCTCTTCTCTTTGAAAAGTAAGATTCTTTAACTGGTATACAATCCCCCTCCCCCAATGCCAGTACACTCCACTATGCAACCTTCATTCTAGACTCTTGTCATGACCATAATACCCAATCATATATTGCTTTTAAACTGTTTTCTCCCTCATCTGTTTCACTGTAGTATAAATAATTTATTCAATATTTCTCAGTCTCACCACAACCCTGATGTCAGTCCCATTCTACAATAGTGGCACTATGCAGTATTTTTCCTTTTTTTGATTGAGAGATTTCACTCAGCATAATGTCCTCCAGGGTCACCCATTTTGAAAAATATTTCATGCGTTCCTTGTTTTTCAATGCAGCATGGTATTCCATTGTGTGAATATACCACAGTTTATCCATTTGTTTGTTGGTGGACACTTAGGTTGTTTCCCACTCCTTGCTATTGTGAAAAAAGCCGTCATAAACATGGGTGTGCATATATATGCTTGGGTCTCTTTGGGGTATATACCCAGTAGTGGAATTTCTGGGTCAAATGGTATTTCTATTCGCAACTTTTTGAGAAAGTGCCACACAGCCTTCCATAGTGGTTGCACCATTTTACACTCCCACCAACAGTGAATAAGGATTCCAGTGTCTCCACAGCCTCGCCAGCATTTGTTGTTTGCTGTTCTGTTAAATTTTGCTATTCTGACTGGGGTGAGATGATATCTCATAGTTGTTTTGATTTGCATCTCTCTTAGAGCTAGGGCTTTTGAACATTTCTTCATGTGCTTGCTGGCCATCTGAATGTCTTCTCTGGTGAAGTGTCTGTTCATATATTGTGCCCATTTTTCAATTGGGTTATTTACCTTTATCTTGTAGGGGCTCCACTCTGTCTTCAGGCTGCCACCACTTTTGCTCCACTCCCTCATGCAGATACTGTTTGCCACAGCTCTGATCTCTTGAACAGTCTCCACCCATCGCTGCTCAAGTAGCAACTGCCCATCTGCTACTCCCCTCTCTCAAGTCTCCATTGACTAGCAGCAGCACCGCTGCTTTTCTTTGCCACTGCCTCTAAAATAGATTAACAAGAATCATATTTTATCTTTCCCCAGTATTATTTTCATTTAAAGAAACTATGCTTTTGGTTTTTGCTTATGTAGACCATTAGCTCTTAACTATTGTACCTTTAATTGATTTGACATTTTATTTCATTTTGTTTTTTACAGGAATAATAAAATTTTGCTTATTATATATCAAATTGTCTATTCAGAAGAATTTAAGCATGCAGAATATATCATAACATTGATATATATTTATCCTATGATAATACATCTATGGCCAATGGCAAGAGAATTAAATGTGTCAGGACTGATAGCAATAAATTATTATTTTATGCTTTTATATATAATACAAGCAGCATTAAAGGTACTATTTACTGCAGAAATATATTCTAGAAATAAAATAAGTCTGATATTTTAAATCTCTGTCACATTATTGAAATAATTTGGTATTTGGTATAGCAGTTGATTGAATCTTGAATTCTTTACCTATCTTCTTGCATTGAAAAAAATGTAACGATTAAATCAATAAAATTCTCCCTAGAGTAGAACAAGACTTAGTTAAGTAAAATAAGCATGGTGAGAATTTCAAAGATTAAATTCAGGAATGATTCCTTCAAATTCTTCTTGGATGAGGCTATAAACAGATGAATGAATAAAAACACATATTAGTTTGCTAGATATTCATCTTTGATGACTATTTGTTAGATATTAAAAAATAATATTAGCATTAAAACTATTTTTCAGAAAAAGTGCTTCACAATGACATCATTTTTACTATTTTCATACTTTAATTATTATTAAAAGCGTTACAACGAAGCTTCAAGTTTTTACTGCTTGTTTTTGGCATTCTAGCTTCTCAATAGATGATTTATTAAGCTTTGTGTAAGTTTCATTAAATGACGTGTGTTCTATTGTTTTTACTAACCCAAACAGATAATAATTTTGAAAAAGAAATATTTCCATCAATGTTGGAATGTTTTGGAATTTTTTATTATGGTTATTGGGCTATTTGATGTCTTTTGTATATATTCGGTCAAACTGAGACCAGAAAACATGATTCTTATCCAGATTACAGTCATAATGGGATATTTGAGAATGATTAGATTTCTTCCCATCATCAAGGTAAGACAGCATATTAAAATTTTTTCTTTTATACTATTTTAAAGTGAGTTTTAAAATGTGTTACTTTGAAAGATATTTAAATTTCAATTGCAGCTGCTATTGTCACTAAATAAATTTCTCATCTTTGTATCAGAAAACATACCTGTACTTTGCTTTTATTTTGTGAGAGCAAAGTAGATGTACTTTATTCTGAAACATTCCTCCCACAGATATTGATCTGCTTAGCTCATTCTTTTACCCACTTCAAGTCTTACTTAAATCTCACTTTCTTTCCTTGACCTAAATTAATAACCTACCCTCCATACTTGAACTTTCAGTCCCTTACCTGGCTATTTTCCATCTTACTGCTGTCTTTCTCCATAGCATATTTTACTTTTCTTTCTTTTTTTTAAATTTTATTTTATTATTTTGTGTGTGTGTGCATGTGTACTGTCAAATCATATCTGACTGGTACAGGAGGAGATTGTTCCTCCTTCTCCAGCAGAGCATCATCTGGTGGATTTGAACCGTGCACCTCTGGGATTGCAGTACAGCTCCTTGCCACTAGGCCACCAGAGCTCACCAGCACATTTTACTTTTTTATTGTTTGTACTCTGCATGAGGGCAGGAAACACTCTTTTGGTCCTGGGTGCAATTTAGCATTGTAGGGTGGTACCTAGCGTATAAAACCAAGGCTTTGCCTTCCTTCTAGTCCACTCTTCCTCTAAAAACAACCAGCTATATCAGAGCACAACTGCGCTCCATAGAGTTTTTCGCTAACTGATTTTCTGGAAGTAGATCACCAAGTCTTTATTCTTAAGTCTTTCTTTCGACCTACAGGTGGATTCAATAGGCCAGAGAAACTCGATCTTTGGGTTAGCAATGCATCTCCTTATAGTCCACTCCATGAGAGCTCCCTATCTAACATACGTTGTTGCTGTTGTTAGGTACCATTTAAGCGAATATGACTCATAGTCACCCTATGAACAATAGATCTGAACCTTGTCCTATTTTGTGCCACCCTTTTCATTTCTGACACTCTTGAGTCTGTTGTTGCAGTCACTATATCAATCCATCCTGTTTAGGGTCTTCTTCTCTTTTGCTGACCCTCCATTTTTCCAAGAATCATGTCCCTTTCCTAGCAACATGTTCAAAGGATGAGAGACAAAGTTTCACCATCTTTTATCTCCAAGGAGCACTCTGTCTGTGCTTTTGGCAAGATACATCTGTTTGTCCTTTTGGCAATCCATGGGATATTCTGTACTATATTGTCAGCCTTATTCATTGTCCTGCTCTCAGATTCATAGTAAGTGATTGTGAAGCCCATGGTCTGAATCAGGTACACTTTAGTCTTCAGATATCACTGCTCTCCAGTATTTTGGAGAGGTCTTTAACAGCTGACTTGCCCAATTCAATACATCTCCTGATCTCCTGATTACTGGTATGAGAGGTGTTGATTGTTGATAAAAGCAAGATGAAATAATTGACAACTTCAATCCTTTTTCTGTCTATCATGCATGATTTTGCTTATTGGCCCAGTGGTGAGGACCTTTGTTTTCTTCATGTTGAGATAGAATTAGTATTGAAGATGGTAATCTTTTATATTCTGCAGTAAGAACTTCACATCATCCTCACTTTTTTATTCTTCTTTTTTCTGGCTTTTAAAAGACTTATTGCCTTGGGAAAGTCTACTGTCAGAAAACTTGACAAAGTATTGAAGAGTAGTGATATCAGTTTGAAGATTAAGATGCGCCTCATTCAGGCCATGGTCTCTTTCTTTTTTCTTTTCTTTCCCCCTTGTTGTGTTCTATCAAATGGGATCCAAATGGCTCAGGAGGAGATTGCCCCTCCTTCTACAGCAGAACGTCTGGTGTATTCAAACTGCATGCCTTTGGATTGCAGTGCAGCTTCTTGCCACTAGGCCACCAGAACTCCCTCATCCTCACTTTTAGCAAGCAAGGTTGTGTTATCTACATACTACAGGTTGCTGATGAATCATCCTCCAATCCTGACACCACATTCTTCTTCATAGAGTCCAGCTTCTCGAATGACTTGCTCATGAATAAAAATCTTGATGCTGTTAGGAACAAAATGACTCAGAGACCAATTGTCCAAGGCTGGGGGCCAGAGGCTAACCAACCAACCACCTCTCATCTTGATGTCACCTTAACTGAAATATTTTGTTTCCCTTTAGTTTTTTAGAAAAACTTACAAATTTTTGGAGATTAGTAATTACTGATATTATCTTAAGGGTGTGCATGAAGATTCTAAAACCTGGAAGAATTGTATTTACTCATAGCAAACAAGAAACCGCATAATGCTTAGATTCCGTCTGGGTTTGTTTTCAAACACATGGCTGTGACAGGATAGATCTTTGCCAACCTATCCTGTTTTGTGTTCCTCCTGTGTCTCATGCCTTCAAGGGACTTTGCTTCTTAATTGGTTGGAGTTAAAAAGGCATCTCAATATGGCCATCGAAGATGGCAATTTGAAGAAATGGAAGTGTGCCTTAAGAAGCAGAAAAGACGAAGAAATATGGATAAGCATCCTTCAAAAGAATATGTGGAAAAAGCTAAGAAGAGGCGAGGTCACCCTCCCTCTGAGAAACTATTCACCCACTCCCCCCACATTTACAAAGCAGCTGAACACGATCAGATTATAGATACTGTGGTAAACCACAAAGACCGTTTAGGATGGCAGCTCAGCGAAGTCTTCATCCAGGTACCTTTCAGAAAAGAACTCCTAGAATTGTTGTTGTTATGTGCCATCGAGTAGGTTGCAACTCACAGAGACCCTATGTACAAGAACTCTAAACGCTGTTCTATCTTGTGCCAACCTAGCCATCTCAAACATACTTATTCCCACCGCTCCAGTCACAGAATCGATCCATCTCATCGAAGGTCTTCCTCTCCTTCGCCGCCCCTCCACTCTGCCAAAC